TATGTACTGAGCATGATGTCACATGGTATGGAATATCCCTTTGGCCAGTTTGGGTCAGCTGTCCTGGCTGTGCCCCCTCCCAGCTTCTTGTGCACCTCCAGCCTTCTCAGTCCGCAGAGCATGGGAAGCTGAAAAGTCCTTGACTAGTGTAAGCATTACCTAGCAACTACTAAACATTGGTGTGTTATCAACATTGGTCTCATCCTAAATCCAAAGCACAGCACTGTACCAGCTACTAGGAAGGAAATTAACTCTATCCCAGCCGAAACCAGAACAGATACATATCCAAACTGTTCCTTTCTTGTTTTAGAACAGTTAAGCACTTCTTTTGAAGTATTTTATACTTCTTGCTTCTGGCAAGCTACATGTACATATAGAAGCTATTGGCTGTGGAATCTCTTCTGGTGGTGCATTGAACGCACAGAAGGGGCAGCCATGAACTGAAGCCTCTAGAAATCAAATGTAGAGCAATTGTGTTTTAGAGATTTCTAGAAACATATGTTTGGAGACGCGAAGAACCTATAAAAGTAGCATCTAGTGTGTTATTACTGAGCACTGATTAAATGGAAAAGGATTTTTATTTCACTTAATCACCATGGCTGGAGCATGCAGCAACAGCTGTCATAAAGATTGCATATGCTCTTACATTTTGAAGGATTTCCAGTTACTTAACAATTTATTTTTGTATATGAAATGATCTGTTTAGTCTCTGCCAGATGTTCTTTTATTTTTTTTTTAAACTTGAGCAATGGTTATTATTCTGTCCTTAAGTAGGAAAGACTGCAGTAGGAACAGTAATATTTAACAACTCCACCAATGCAATTTCTGAAGATTCCTTCTGCCAGTGTTCTTCCCTTTGAGGTGTAACTTCTTACAAGATGTGAATTTTGGCCTGCAACGGTGTTGGGTACAGTGCAAGCCAGCCCTTCTGCTTGATATTGCATTCCACCTTCACAGGCAGTTCAGTCACTTGCTATTTGAATAGGACCTTTGAAGGAGTTTCCCTGTTATTACAACTTCAGCTATGAGCTACCTGCATCACTGTCCCTGCCCAAGTTTCCTTGGGCCTGTCTGAATTTTGAATAGGAATTCTTGAGCTTCCATTACTGTGACTGCACCACTCAGCATCTTCTGTGCTAACTTTATAGGATGGGTGTAGTGCAGTTTATAGGAACTCAGAAACTGTGATGTTTCTACCCTTGGCATCTTGACTGAAAAATAAATTGATAATATAAATGCTTCCTATTATG